AGTCAACATGCACTAAGCCCATGTGATACCACAGGGCGGAATTACCATCCAATCAAAAACTACTGCACGTCACTTATTGGAGTAGACAAGTGCGAATGGCAGGAGACCCTGGTACTTAAGCTTGTGAGTAACAACAAAATGCTATACAGGTATGTGAACGACAAAATAAGTGTGAAACCTGGAATACCACCACTCACTGCGGCCAGTGGCTTAGCGACTAGTGCTGTGGATACCGCGAACTCTTTACTCCTGCAGTTTGGTTCAGTGGCTACCAAGACCATGGAATCTTTGCTCTGAACTCCCAAGAAATGTCGTCGGCTTATACTGTGTCACCTTTACCCCAGAGTATGTTGTGAACAAATTAAAGTCTCTCCGGGAAAACAGTGCATCGGTAATGTACAAGATCTGCTTAAAGTTACTTAAAACTCTTAGCCCCACCATAGCTGCACCACTTACAACCTTTTTCCAGGGTCTGCTCAACTCCCATACACTCCCATCTGAGAGGAAAGATGGAATTATCACTCCAGTATACAAAGGAGGTATGCGATCTGATCCGGTCAACTACCGATCTATTATCTTCCTTCCTGTTTTATCATAAGTGATGGAATCGGTAATCGCAAATGAACTGACGCGATATTTTGAAATTCTGCAGATAATTTTTAACATCCAAAATGGTTTCAGACGCAGATGATCTTGTCTCAGTAACTTGCTGCTTACTCGGGACTCATGAACCATGGCGATTGATGAAGGATTCCCCACTGACGTGAGTTACTCAAACTTCTCTAAGACGTTCGACAGGATCAGTCGTTTCGTTCTCCCCCAAAAGCTTGCTGGCTCCGGGGTACCAACGGTCACCTGCTCACCTGATTAGAAGGTGACTTACACGACAGAACAATCCAGGTAAAAATAGCTGACACCCAATCCGAAGGCCTGTGTGTATCCAGTGGTGTACCTCAAGGATCTGTTCCCCATCCGCTTATGTTTCTAGACCACATCAGTGACCTTCCAGCAACTATTCAATCCCCGATTCAAATATTTGCAGATGATGCTTAAATATGGAGAGTAATTTGATCGTCATCTAACTATGCCCATCTCCAGAATGATCTGGACCAGATTAACGAAAGGGCAGCTCCCACTATACCATGCAAAGTGTCACCTGCTGACGATGCATAGCAGTTTCATCAGCACATGTCTTCTGGGACAGCACGCTTTGCAACATGCGACTAGTAAACGAGACTTAGGTGTCGTCGTTCAAGAAAGTCTTGGCAATTTGCTCCAATGTTCGAAAGCAACAAATATGGCGCACTTGAATTTGAGGCTTTTGAGGCGAGTTTTCGGCAACTTTGAGCGACGGTTAGTACCACTATTGATCAACACATATCTTCGTCCCCACGTTGAATATGAAATTCAGGCGGGGTGCTCATGCTTAAAAGGAGATATGTCTCTTTTGGAGCAGCCCAAAGAAGAGCAACCAAAGCAACACATGGACTATCCGGTCTTATTTACAAACTGCACCGTTTGCTCAGCGTATTCTTCTCAGAATATCGATGCAATCACGGAGATCTCGTTTTCACATACCGCATACTAACTGAAAGCGAGCACCCATGTACATCACTGCTGGGTATACAGATGCAGCGGAAGAGGCGGAACGCGCTACGTGCCCAGTACTCACCTTATTTCTAAGGGATACGTGCCTCGAACGCTGTTACTACTTCTGTCACTCCACCATCGGGTTTAATCAGTGTGGTGTTCATTGCAGCAACCGTAGTGGGAAAGCTACTGTCCCTGCGCACACACAGTTCTCCTTGAGCGGAGAACATTCACCTGAGAGTACTGCAGGTAACAGTCACACACCTAGCCGAGATACTTGCCAGATTCCTTCAGAGATTTTTAGACGGGAATATAATTCCGTCAAAGTGGAAACCGGGTATTATCACCCCTATTCGATCCGAGAGTGCCAATTATCGCCCGGTAACGCCAATTCGTGTGTTCGTCAAGACCATGGGAGCGATCATCGCAGACGCATTGATGGGATACCTAGAAAGCTGCGGCACCATTGCGCCGGAGCAGCACGGGTTTCGTCTACATCGATCAGGTACCACAAATCTCCTGATAACACGTGACAACTGGACCGAAACAGTCGACGAGGGGACAGGAATCGATATTATCTACTTGGACTGTTTGAAAGGGTTCGATCGCTTGGATCGTCGAATCTTGCTTCACAAAATTCAGCACTACAGCTTCAGAAATTCGGTATTTTTGTCCGACCCCATTTGAGTGGAGCGCGGCATACAGCAGGGATCGGTACCTTAGCCGCGCTTGCTCTTATGACCTCAAAATCTTTACTCTCCGCTGACTACTATAAGGTTTGGCGGATGAGCAAGGTATTAGACGACCGGGAAGTTCTTCACCGCTATCTCGATGTGGCGTGGAATCGGTCCGTGAGGAAAGCACTGCTGTTCAATGTGTAGAAGCGCGACGTTGTCCACATTTGTTATTGGCACGCCTACATGTACTAGCTTGGGACTTATGATCTGCATATATGCTTTCAGGAACGCAACCTCGGTGTGCAGGGCGACTTCGATTGTTCCAGGCAGTCAGATTCTGCCTCATAAAATGGTAACCAGTGTGGTGGTAAGTTGTAACATCAATCATGCTGGTTGCCTGTAAAATGGCGAGCTAAACGGACTGTCTGAAAGTTAATCGATCGCCCCGGTCAAGCAACAACTTCACCATGTGGGAGCCAGAAACGACTCGTAAGTCCGCACGACAAATTGGCTTGATCAGTGATACGCTTATTTTCCGTCAGACAGCCAAACAAAGGAGAGCGAATCGGAATCGACGAACGGAACGTAATTTGTCCTATAAATAATATGTTGCCTTCTGATCAAATATATTCTGATCGCAACCCAGTCTCCGCTTTTGATTATCGGAGGGCTACCACGACAACCAGCATGTTGATCTCTTGTGGAGGGTACTAAGGACTTCGTACTCATCCATTTTCTCCCTGATGTTCAATGCCTATATGCGTCCGCACGTCGAATACGCTATCCAGATTTAACAACCATGACTAAAGCGTGACCTCGCAGCGCTCGGTACCCCATAACGTCGAAAAAAAGTGCCAAGGGTTTGCGCCAACTTCCGCGTCAACAACGCCTGAAGATACTCCGAGTGTACCGTGGACACTACTAGCGGTTTAATACAGACCTCACACTAGTCACGTACGTGGCCACTTAAAACTCAGACCGAACACCAACCTCAGAGCCAATGGCCTGAAACCTAGTCATCAATATAGTCGTGTAGATTGTCCACGAACTCCATCCGGGTCTGCTAACTCTGGAACGCTTGTCCAATCTCATTTGTTAGTCCTCCCAATTTAGCGACTTTTAAAAAGGATTGCTGCGCGGACGGATATTCTGAATATATTCAGACTAACATCTTTGGAATAATAACTCACAGTGACACACCTAAATCGGTACAAACGGGTGAGCAATCCGATTGTTACTTGCTATTATCATTAGCCATAACAACTTGGGAATCCGTTTTGCATGGTACCATCTCACCCCTATAACCCTGCCATTACTATATCTATTCACCGATGCGCATTTCAGTTGGCCTACTTATGTAGTATTCGAATTTGCGATTCCTTTCATTACCAATCTACGGGACGTGCTAAGCTTGTGTTTTATACCCCTCTTAAACCATTATTCCATTAAAAATGAGCAGATGTTAAATTTTTTTTATTGTTTTCCTCCCGGAAAAGCACTAGGCTCGTCAGTGGTGCGCATTCCCTCGGTCCCCTACTGGGGATCGAACCCATGACCGATAGAGGCAGATGGCAACTAGCCAGCAGCTCAAGTCACAGAGCCATGGTAGACGTTGGCTGAGCTAGATACTTTGCAAGCTAACTGGGATATAGGACGACGACCGCCACCACTGACGAGCCCTAATAGGGAGAAACCCGTGTGGTGTTTTCCAGAGCTAGACTGTACTGTATAGCTTGTGAACTCCTGGAACGGGAACATTAAAAAGTTAAAATCCTACTCATTATTAATATAAAACGTAGCCTCTCCTACTTTCAAGTGCTATGGACGTAGCCTAGTGAGAGGATGTCTTGACCTTCGGAGGCTAGCCACTGTCGTATGCTAAGGTAGTAACCTTCGTGGGAGTGGAAGATGGTCCGTGCTATATCCCAGTTAGCTTGCAAATTATCTATCCCAGCCGACGTCTCCATGGTTCAGTGGCTGAATCTGCTGTTTAGTTGACATCTTCCTCCATCGGTCATGGGTTCGATCCCCAGTAGGGGACCGAGGGAATGCGCACCACTGACGAGCCCCAATAGGGCGAAACGTGTCCGATACTTCTTCGTACTAGGCTGTGCTATGTAGATTATGAGCTCCTGGGACGAAAACATTATTCCCTCGTTCCATGCGGAGCCAGTAGTTTAAATAGTGTCCACACATAGTGCAAAAGTTCTTCGCTAGTAATCTGCATGTAATTTTGCTGCACCATCTCATATAATTGGTGGTCCATTGTAAATGGATTGTCTGCTAGAGATTTTACTGACAGGCAGCTACCCTAATACGTTCCACCAGTTTTCACCTCTTGCACCTGATCACCAGCAGGTGACACAGCTTTTGTGAACGTCACATTTGTTGTCATTCATTGAAGATTTCCAGTGGTTTGACAAATTTTAACGAATTTGTAGCTATCATTCCACGATTGTGTAATTAATCCTATGGTTTATGCTTAGGAGCGTAAAGACTGCTTTCGTTCTTGCCTCAATTCATTTGCAAAATGCAAGGATAATCATTAAAATGTCGCCGATTATGATGATTCTCAAACAGTAGCCGACTACAGGGATCTACGTTGCTTACACATCTGTTGTGTTTTCACACGGTAACTTCTACAAACGCGCTCTACCTTGCTGGTTTTCTAAGCTTACAGTGTTTTCCTCGTTGCTTGTTTTCTGCAATTTATCATTATTCTTTTCTTGTTAGATCGAAAGGGAGCGAACCTATTCGGCCAGTGAAAGAGCGCGCCTGGATCGTGAGATCTCTATCCTCCGTCTAGTAAAACATCCAGGCATCATCGAACTTTTAGCGGTGGCGGAGTCTCCATCTTACCTATTTCTCATCACTGAACTGTGTGAAGGAGACACACTGGCTGACTGTCTCGATCGTCTACCAAACAGCACTGGATTAGAAGAATACGTAGCCGTTGAGATCGTCCGACAAGTGGCGGCGGCTCTTTCATACTTGCATAATCGTGGTATCGTACATCGGGATTTAAAAGCGGGAAACATCATGCTGCTTCACAAAGTTCATTTAGATTACCGACCGATCTCACTGGATAAAACCATGAATCAGAGACATGCTTTAAATGGGAAATATGCTTCCAACCCAACCGCCAATCGCAGCCTGCCGCAGGGTGCTTCCTGGACATCTCCCACAGTTCCGGTAATCACAGACGTAGAAGTGACACAATCGGCGAGGCAAATGCGATACACCAATATTGATTCATCTGTTCGTTCGAAAGCCAGTCGCACAAGTACCAAACACGCTGCATCATCTGCAGCCCCAGTTACTCTCTCTTCAGAGGACAAGGGGCATAAATCGCACCCTCTCAAATCGATGGAAGGAGGCCCTGGAAAGATGGCCCCTACCGAGTATATGCAACACCCGAGGTCACCACCGCCTAGCCTTCGCACAAAGCTGATCGACTTCGGCCTGGCTATCGAGGTACGCAAAAACGAAGAACCTCTGGGCAACGCATGTGGAACACCACTTTACATGGCCCCAGAGGTTCTAAGTGGGCGCTCCTACACTCGCCAGTGCGATGTTTGGAGCCTAGGTATACTAGTTTACCAGCTGTTGAACTGTCAACTACCTTACAATGCTCAAACGGAGGAGCAGTTGCTGGAGCAAATGAACCGTTTTGACATCAAAATCCTTACTCGAAAAATGAAGCATCTTTCACCCCCTGCATTAAACTGTCTTTCACGAGTACTTCATTTGGATCCCGCTTACCGATACTCGGCGTCAGAACTACTACTAGATCCCTGGATTACCCAGTATGCAGTGGTTCATAGGGATGAAATCACTTTTGAGCATCTGGATAGAAAGCATTCTTCTGTGGATGGACAAACTGATGCTTCTGGCCGAGCTAGTTCTAACGTCTTCCCCTTGGATCCAACATTTTCTAAGACTATCAATCCAACTGGGAGCAGACCACCATCAGTTGGATTCGCACATTCGAGCAGCACATATTCTGCGACCAACGTGCTAGAATTAATGAAGCAGTACCACAAGGAACTGACAAGTAATAAACAGGATAGTACCGAACATACAATCAAATCTAACACCACTGAATGAACAGCATGCTAACCTGAAGAACTATCGGACCCGATACTAGGAGACCGAGGTAATGAATGACTGTCTTCTTCCGCAGATGTCTATGGACGAAATTAAATGCCGTAAACGCCATCCATGCTTTAACATGCGGATGATCTCTGACACGCATCATTCACAAATATTCCGGAGGGTCGAACCGTAAAATGAATTCCCAGAGTAATGTATTTCCTTTTTCTTGTTTCGCTTCCTTTAGTCAGTGTGACTCATTTTCTATTTCCTCCTCAACTTTCGATGTTCCCAGCGAAGATGAAGAATGGAACAACCTTTGTGATCGAGTATGCTTGTTGTGTTACTTCTGTGAAATCTTTTTCGTTCCTTTTCCGGGTATCCAAAAGCGCCCGTTGCCAGAGAACAAGTGGGTTCACTATCAGACAGAACTCTTCCAACTGCCTATGGATTTTTCGGTACAAGTTTTTCATTACTGTTATCCATAAAATTTATGTTGTACACCAACGGTTCTGGATCAAATCAACATTAACAGACAACCCAACAACGCCAACGCTAACTGTGTAGGTGATTCATTTGCGGCTTAATTATCTTATAAGATATATCGAGGCCTCTCCTACGCGTGCGTGTGTAAACGCCCCGCACTTGACTTATCCAAGCTTAAGGCCCTAAAATGATTGCAGCGTGAGTCAAACTTATCGTGATGTTCATAATTTCGATTCCTTGTACCAGGGTTTCTTTTCTAACATGGTCATCACATAGTTGCTACCATTAACGGATCTTTATCGAAACGCTGATGTTGCAATCACCACCCAATGGCCCAAAATATTGTATGAAATCGCGTAGGCTTGTCGGTGTTTTTGTTCTTTCCCTAGTTCTTATGGTGAGTTTAGGTAATAGGAAAAGAACGAACACTTCAAGTCTACAGTTGTCTTGCGTATGTCGAGTTTGCACGCGACTATATTTTCCAATTTAGTAGAGCCGTGACACACGTCCTCATTTGTGGCAGTTATAATATGCATACGTAAGAAACAACAGGAACTCGAGCGAAATGGTAAAAAGGAACCACCAACAAGTGTAATTACGCTACCAACAAACGTACGAAGGCAATTCTCGCTGACTTCATGGTTGCATTAAGGACGATACGGCTTCCAACCAGTGATGTCACCGTTCTCGAAGCCTACATTCAGAAGACATGTTTATCCTGTAGCGCCCTTCGAGAATCAAGGACTAACACTGGGCTGCGATCAGAATCCATACCATTTTCCACCCATGTTAACGCATTGTACCAAGCTTTTAGCGTGGCACATTTTCGAAATCGCGTGCCGTGCTTTCAAGTTAGCGAGGCTAAGAACGCTGTTTTGGCGTTGTTGACACTCATTTGTCATGGGACGTTACCCAATGGGATACCGGTTGGAAGCCCACAGCATAAGCGACACACAGCCCAATGAAAGTGGTCGAGCACCACCTTCTGTTCTATTCTGAGGCCTATCTGAAGGAAATTTCGCTAACTTGAAAGCACTGCACGTGATTCGAAAATGTGCCACGCTAAAAGCTTGGTACAATGCGCTAACATGCGTGTAAAATGGTGTAGTTGGACCAGAATGCAAGGTGTTATTTATAGCCATCCCGCTTTGCTCATCCTTGATTGATTGCCTCTGGCGGAAACTTAGCATCGATCGAGCCAGTTGGTCGTGCGGGCTTACAAAGCGATTCTCGCTCGTGCGCGTAGGCGTTGCTGCTCAACGGGTGGTGGACAGTCGACTGAGCGATCTTTTGCCTGTCCGTTCCGAATGTGTGGGGGAATAGAAACAGCTGCCATTACCATGCTCATGCCACAATTATGACTTCCTTTTGATTTTCCGTAAGTTTGTGCGTACTTATTTCTTGCGTCATCGGATGCCGCGTAGAGATTCCAGAATAACTAGGAAGTACTTGAGTATAACATGCAATGACAGATAAAATTTTTCCGGGCTCACCCTACCTGTCGTCTTATATAGTTTAATATTATTGTGTTGGCATTGACGAGACAATACGAAATGTTAATGTCCGCCAGTTTTCCTTTTCTTACCGCTTTATTCAAATTGCTAACGGGGTATAATTGTTTCAAAGACTGTTACTACCATTAACAGATAAAACCAACTTATTCTTTTGCAGCCCATTCAAGGTGGAAGCTGGACGCTCGTTAGGCGGAAGCCTGTATCGTCCACGGACTTTGACCTGACCTGACCTTGTTGTTACTTTGACATCCGAGCACCTTACGAATTGTCAACGCATAACTGAAAGGGAAAGAAATAAAGGCATCAGCCCGCATATGGCGCCGACGCTTCGATGCTATGCGACCGCCACTCATCGCGATGTTGCCGGCATCTACACCGATTCGAATCAGTGACCTTTCAGCCACCGAAAGGCAAAATGTAGCATTAACGGACGTTACACTAGAGAGGAATAGGGGTGGCTCTCACTGCATCCGATTTCTCGAGGACCAGCTATTCGCCGGTTCGTGATGCATGTGAGACGCTTTAACGCAATAAAGCCAATGTTTCAGTCATTTTCTATTGGTCGTTTAAAAATCAAAGCATGTTCGACGACCTCCAGTTTAAAGACAATTTTTCAACGCCACGCAGTGTTGGGAAAAGCAGATAGTCTTGCAATTATCCTTTGGCCATCGACCTTGAGTAATAGTTGAGCCTGATGACCAAACAATAGTGACAACATAAAGCACACACATTTCATTCCAAAAGGCTGAATGGACGACCGGCTTTCGAGAACAAATTAAGATCTCCATGTGGAAAAGACCATGACTATATATAAGGCTGGGGATGTCAGCGTACCATTGATTTTGTGGCTCCGCAGTATCCGATATGATGCCTACGCGGTGATTCGGCCTATTCCGAAACCTCTGTCAAAGATGAGAACACACCAACCACAGTTAGCATTTCAGTAAATTTCCTCGCGAGCTTTTTACCTATCACTTAAAGGATGGTTCAACGAACCATCAAAAGAAATACAATGTCGTTGGACGATACACACGAAGCAAACGGGAGGGTAGGTGCATGCGTGATGTTCCAGTTCACGAAAAAGGAACTATTCTTGCACTAGGAAGGAGTAAACTGCTGGAAACGGGCAACTTTAACGGGAACGGGCAAAGGATTATTCATACTCACTGTCTAGCATCAGAAGAACGCCTAAGGACCAAAGGTAGATATATCACAAGAGGAACTGCTAAATAGGTTGGCAATGAAGGCTGCATCTCGCAAGTCCAGGGAAGATATCTTCGGCCGCACTCAGCATCGCGCAAGTATGTGTTGTCGTGAGTAGCCCATTTTAATGTGCGTTTCACATGTTTGTTGTCCCAATGAACCACTCCTCGAACCTCTGGATCTTTTGAGATGTACTAACCGGAATAGATGGTTTCAGTACACTAAATTCTCCAGTAGAGCTTTAGAGGACCCGTTACCAAACACCAACCGACTGCCCTCTGTATCGCTCAGTCCGTTCCTTCACCAGGCATGAGTAATTCTTTACAAGCGTGGGTGCTGAAACGAATCCATTCCCCATATATCTTCAGCGCTCATGTCGGTACTTCATACAGCAACACAAACTGTGTCATGGTGTTACCCACACCTGTATGGCATTGCTCCCATAAGTGGTTAAGACCTACCACAAATTCTGAGGTGGTGTGACTAGCAGAAGTGATATGGCCATCTATGTTAGTGATCGTACATATCAGGTGGTTGAAATTGCTGGTGAGTTGATCAAGCCCTTTGACAGGGCGTTGCAAGGCTTATGCTGGAGCGTATGGCTATCTTCGACATTCTGTGTAGAGGCTTTTGCATAGCACTTGTCCGTGTGTTCTAAACTTGAACGTATAACCACTGAGAAAATCTGCTCATGTCGATCAGAGTAGGAGCGCCATACATTGTCTCTGGTCCTAGAAATACGTCACCATAACTGTGAGGTCTGTTGCCACTTGCTTTAAGCCAAGAAGCGCCCAGTCAGAAGAGTGAAAACCAGCCACATCACATCTGAGGTTGATGCTGGTCACTGATGTGTAATCTGCTACAGTGTAAAAAGTGCAAAACTGTCCTGAATTCTCAATCTGAGTGTAACAGATCCTAACTAGGTATAAAGGGGTTTGCAATTAAACTCTCCAGCTGGACGTGCTCCTTACTATTTGATTAGTGCCGTGGGGTATCCCTAGCAAGCTTCCATTTATATCACTGTCCTATACTTAAATTGCTTATCCTAAAGCTAATGATAAATGACTCGAAGATATGCACTTCATTGGAATGGGACGACCGAAACTTGTGATCCACCCAGGAAATCTAGCCATCAGCACTCTTCCTTCTCTCTTCCCCCAGTTACAACCTAATTCGTATCAGATTTACGTGGAAGAGTCTAGCACTGCTCTTGCAACTGATGCTATCAATTCGCTCACCTCGTCCCACAGATCAAGAGTTTCATCTGATCATGGTTCCTTCAACACACACTTGATCGGATAGAGCTAACCCGCACTTTATGTGCTGTTTCCTTGGGGACGCATCCTCATTTTCCCTCGTACTCAGCTCGGTTTTGCTTTCCCAATTCTCATTGCACACATGTATGCCTACACTCATTCAAGCCAGCCTATTATGCGCTATCTAGTGTACTCAATCTGTTAGATTTAACCTACGCTGATCACTTTGACTCCAAATCTCAGTCTTTCCACCCTTCCCACAGAAACAGGCGCACAATTTAACAAATGCCTAGCAGAGCATCAACATTTGCGACCTCAAGCGAAGGCCGAACCTGAGACATATACGACTATCCACAAACCACAGTTATCGAACCCTAAGCATAGTTACCACCGGACATTTTGTATTCTTTATTTTTCATTTGTTTTGTTTACGGCTCAGAGCGACACCTTAGCGCACGACCCAGCAACTCAAACCTGACCCGACATTGGACCACGCCAATTTGTCATGTAGTAGACAGATAGGTAACCAGGCGCGCTTACCTTGAGTTTCAATCAAGCGCATTGCCATTGATCCGAGGGGCTTCGATCAAAAAACACGAGACGAAGTGTGTTTTCATGGCCGATCAACAGAAGCAGAGCGTGGTGTGTGGTCTTGAATTATGTCAGAAAAATGTACGAACACTTTCTGACTCCTTTCTGTCGAGAGGGTTGTCGAATGCTATCCAAACTCGCTGTATCCTCCTTCCGATAACTCGTTAGTTAAATGTGGAAAAGTGGGGTGTATCAAAGCGGCTGCAGACTCGTCCGGTGACAATCATTGCGATATCTGTACCCGTTGGTTCCATGAGGATGGTACTGACTTGGATCCGATGCAGTATGCCCTTATGGCTAGTAGTGAAAGCACACTATACAGTTGTGGTGACTGCTGCGTGCGTAGGACTGCTCATTAAACGCCAGTGAAGAGCAGTCCTGTTTCTCTGGAAAACGTAATGTCTCTGATCTGTTCGCTAGACAGAAACGTTGCTTGGATTCTGAAGTGTCTGGACCGCTCAGATCTTCTCCGTCAAGAGAGTGGAAGATCCT